TGGAAATCATCAGCCCCAGAGGCAAAATGAAAACTGGGGAGGTGGGTCCTGCTTTTGGAGGGCACTGCCTCCATCCCCAGCTTTGTGGGTAACCGTGGCCACCCTCAGGAGCAGGAGCAGGGCAGGGTGCTCTGTGCCTCCCCCCAGTGAGTGCACCCCAACCTCTGCCCACACCATGGCCGGGACAGGGGCAGGGTCGTCTCTGACCTGCTCAGGCAGGGGGAGAGGAAATAAAAATACTTGAATGAGCCAGAGGGTAGGAGAGGGCTGGTCCCCAAGGAGAAACAGGGACTGCGGCCAGCTTCTCCTTCCAGAGGCCTATCCCCAGGACAGTGCACCCTTCAGAGCCATCTTCCCATCCACACACACCCCTAACCCGTGGGCCACCCCACAGCAGCTCCTTTGATAAATAGATGGGTCTGATGGCTCGGCCACACCATTGCACCCTTCAAACACTCCCTTCCCCAGTCAACCTGCCCCAGGCAGCCCCCCAGCCTAGTCCCCTGGCCCACTCATGTACCTTGCTCCGCCACCTCTCCCCTGTGTTTCTCAGTGCCGGCACCCAGCTCCTGCTGCTTCCCCCAGCTCCCCTCCTGGGTGTCAGTGCGCAAGGACCAAATGTTACAAATGCCTGCAGCTGCTGTCCCCAAAAATACCCTCTGATGACACGCGGGGTTGATAAGAGTGAGCCTGCTCCATTCAGCGCCTCACCGAGGCTGGGCTGGCCTACCTATGTATAGCAGCCCAGCAGGAGCCACCCCAGAGAGCTGGGGTGCTGCAGGCCCGGCCGTGCCTCTGCGCTGGCTCAGCCAGCAGCAAGAGACGTGTCCTGCGGAGAGCATGGGCATGGGGTGCCCGGGGCAGGGTGCCCGGTGTGCGGTACACTGAGCTGGACACCAGACTGCAGTGAGACAGGCCGTGTCACACAGGACACGCTGCATGAGAGGGATGTACTGCACTGGATGCTGCGTGAGATGCCAGGCTGTACTGGATGGGACTGCAGGACACTGGGCTGCCAGAGGCACAGAGGGGATGCACAGGCTGCCCACCATCCACAGGGCAGGCATGGATAATGGATAGGGAACACCTGGCACTGTCCCCTCAGGCAGTGGTGAGAGGAAGGGCACTGGGTCTCCTTACAGCATATGCCTCTCCTGCAACTCTCACCCTGTGAGCAGGCCATGGCTAGACAGCCTGAACAGCACCCTAGGATCCTTCCCCCGGACCTGCTGCAGGGTGTCCAGCTGTCTCATCAGTTTTTCTCCCCCTGAAGCAGGGCCAGCCTTCCCCAGTCCCAGGTAGAGCAGGGACCTTTTACTATCCTTCCTGCTTCATGTCCCCAGGACCTTGCCAATCACCAGACTGTCATGGAGATGCCATAACCATTCTCCCCTCAGCTTGCCCTTTCCAAGGCCCCCATCCTCAAATTTTGGCTGCCCTGGGGACTGCCACCTGCAAAGTGTCTCCTCCATGCCAGAGCCTTACAGGGCTCTGATCCCCACCAGGTCCTTGCCCAGATTTCCCCGCTGTGCACAACTGCTGTCACTTCCCACTAGCTCCCCAGAAGCCCTAGACCTTCAACTCCTCCACCATGGGGGCACCCAACATCAGCAGCTCACCCGAGGTACACCTTACATCCCCCCCCAGCTTAGGTTACTGGGAGGCCCACAGCCTCCCCAGCCCCACGCACCCTCTGCTCCCAGCAGCATCCCCCCCACACACCCCCTTGCCCGGGCACCAGCCCCCCC